CCATGCTGAAAGAGTTAAGCACATAAAGTATGCTTATGGTTTCAAAAGGTTTACTTATTTTGATCCTTCAACATCTGTAGTTCAAGTTATCTACCTAAATATTAACTTTAAATTGGAGAAATACAGTAATTTACATAAAAATATAGATTTCAGTTCTTCAGTGACTTTTACTCTTAAAGCAATATTTTATTAAATTGGTATTTAGTTAAATTAACAGTGGAATCATTAGAAATTTAAATGCAAGAATTCATAAAATCAATTGCCACCACAAAACAAGAATTGAAATAAACATGCTGGCATTTATCTCATTCTTTGTCAAACCTTGCGTATTTTTGCTGTACACATGAAATAAGGTCTTCACGACACTTTTCATACTAAAATTGAGATTCTGTAAGTTTTCATCAAATGAAATCTATGTTACAATTAAGAAAAATAAAGAGAACTTGAGCAGACTGATAGTGCCAGAGATATGTAACCTCCCCACTTATTCTGTACAGCTAGCTCATCAATTGTTGACTGGTCACTAGTGTTGAGTACTCCTTCAGTGCAAGGCTTGTATCTACATTATATCACTACCACATGAACTTGCACTACTGCATGATAACGTATTATGCAGCAAAACTCTTCACCAGTAAGGGTGCAATATGTCTTCTTGCATAAATCCTCCTCCTACATTTCTGCAAGAAAATTATTGTTTTCCTTGGCACATGAATTTTCACTGAGAAAAATCGTATTAAAGCAGGTATCAAACATAAATTATTAATTTGCTCAAGCCGAAATAAGATTTTAATGCATATGTAGTAGTACTTCTCTGCAAGTTTTTATATATATACATTTTTTTTCTTTAAATAGGAGAAAACTGACATCTATCAGGATGACTGTCACACATTTATTTAGTAATATGGTATAATATTTTTATTTAAAAACTGTCATATTTTTGTTATACTAAATCCTAGATACAATATTAAAAAACAAATGTACTTAAGTTGACAAGACAATATTTTATATCTATTCTGAAGCATTAACATTGTAATGTCTGTTTTGATGTAAGCCATTTTTTCCTAGATTAAACCCATTTTAATACTTGTGAAAGTGTAAATTATTGCTTGGAACTTGGTTTGTATTATTATAGTTTGCACTTTTACCTTGCAGTTTTTTTATTTATTTAAAAGTCAGACATTTTGTAAATTTCACTCTGGTGTTTGTTGTTTTGTGAGTATTACATGTATAGTGTTGAATGCTTCAGTTTTGTTTAATATAAAATAATATAATCAAAAATTATGTACTAGAATGTGGAAATACAATGAATAGTACTGTGTACAATCAGAATATACACATGTAATAGGCAGTTTTAAGAATGAAGAACAAGACAAAAACAGTGAAAACTTTCAGCTTGTTTCTCAGAACTAAAAGTAATCTATAGCACATCAACAACCATTTCTTGGCTCTCTTATTTACATGTTTATAATATTGCTAGCTAACATAAGATTGTTACTATTTGTAGTTCGTACCATGCAGTTATGCTACATACAGTTTTTTTGTTTTAATGTTTACTTTTAGTTTCAGTTATACATTGTTACCATATCTTCATGAGTTAGCTTGTTTAATTTTTAAAAAGGCTTAAAACTACAATGTGCTGCTTCAGTACTCTCCATTTTATGATTACCTAGGATATAGATTCTGTTTGAATTATAGTCTTGTGTCAAGATGAAGCTGCAAATATAATGTATAACTCCTTGTGTATTTAATAATTTAGAAATGACATTAACATCAGGAAATTTAGTAGTGTATTTTTTGGAATGATATATACACAAGTTGATATGTATAATTTGTCTTGTTTGTAGAATTTTATTTGTTACAACATGTATTCTAAAATGCTTATTTTATTTCAGAAAGTGTGCAGAAGTTGAAAGAGAGAGCCAAAAGGCGAAAAGGACGAGGCTTTGGATCAGGTTGCTATTAGTTATTCATTATACTTTAGGATAAGAACTAAGCTGTTTAAGAAAATTAATTATAAGGTTTTTGCAACAGTGGTACATGTTTTTGTAAAGTTGAGATTTCCAACAAACACTTGTAATATGAATTATATCATTTAACTTATGTTTATTGTTGTATCTTTAGTGAAATTTATTATTTAAATTATGGCTGAAAAGCCAGTTGACTGGCAACTGAAATATTGTTAATTGATGACTAATTATTTGATGATTCTCAGATTCCTTCAAATAGATGTGTTTATGTGAATTCTCTTTATAAATAGTAAACTAACTGTATGATAGAATTGTTGGTCAAAATAAATAATAATCCATTTGTAGGACTTACATGTATCTCTCTTACAACAAAGAATTAGAAAACAAAATACCTGGTACAAATAATTTTCCTTAAATGAAGAAAGTGTTTTCTTTGAAAGCAATAATATTTAATTAAGTACCCTGCACAAAGTTTTAAACAGTGATTTGTGATTATTTAACTTGCACTAAACTTTAGTTTTGGGATCTTAGAAATTAAAATACTATCTGGTCATGGAAAGCCATGGGTTTTATTTCAAAAGTTTTACTCACCATCAAGCTGGCAAAACAGTCAAATGACCACGTGATAAAACATTTATGGAACTCTTGCCCTACATGTCCTGTGATGTTGGAGAGAATTTAACAGAAGCATCAGGCTAAAGATGATATCAGTGAGCAGTCCGTGGTCTTTGTCGTTGGGTTCGACTTTACACTTGTTACAAAGTAGTTTATTTGGATTTTGTGTTGTGTTGTTGTGAGTGGGTCGTGCAGGCTACCAATGTGAAGAGGTTTATGTGCGGAATAAAGAAAACACACAGAGACAACAAATAACTTTGTTATTTATACACTATTGAACAGTTCATTTATATCGAAACTCTCACTACTTCTAAATCATTAAGTTCTTCATTTTGAAAGTCTAGATGTTCGTTAATAAGCCCTTTTATTACATTCAATAACATAGATACAACATTAGTTATCAATTAAGTTAACATGAGAAAGTCTCTCGATCATAATCTGTATAACTGTGTTAACGATTCTTCTAGGATATCTTCAAGTAATTCCACTTTAAGAATTTTCAAATCTACTAGTTAATGTTCTTCACATTTTTCTCTTTATACATTATTGAACCTTAAGTGAAATGCTGTTAGACTAGATCAGAAATAGCATACTTACAAGGAGCTTGTGTGGCAAACTTCTTGTAGATTCTGGATTACTGTCATCTTCTGGAGCCAGATAAGTGTGAAGAGTTTAGAGTCAGAAACATGCAATTAAATACACAATTTGAAGTGTTTTTCCGATTGTTCAACAAGTTTAGCAGATCTACTTTTAAAAGTAGTTCTTTTAACTCAATTGGTACAAGTGAGATCTTCCAGCAACAAGTGGACTATTCCATCAGACTGTAACCAAAATTCACTTTCTTATTGGTCCTTAAAAAACTTATTTCTGTCCCTTATCTGATATCTTTGGCGAAATCATCCAAGACAATTACCTTATGGTGTAAAACACTGGACTCTTCACTAAGGAGTCTTCCATCTGTTTTTTATCAGTGTTCCATTAACTGTTTTTTTTGGGGGGGGGGCATTGTTTCATTGTGCATTTTATCTAACTATGGAGTTTTCTCAACCGCCCACATATGTGTGCTGTGAATTCTTGCCCTCGGGGTCACGACTGGAATGTTGCTATGGGCCTCAATCATAGATCTTCCTTAGCTAGTATTTCAGTTCACGCTTTCTTATAACATTTTCGATCTGCAATACGTTATAGAGTAAAAAATGTACTTCTTTATAAAATCTTCACACATTTAATATACTTAGTATTTGTATTCCACTAATACTTCACTCGTAACACTACAGTGGTAATCAAATCATTTCAGAACAAGCTGAATGCACTTATTGAGTTAGATGATTTTAAAACTGAAACCATGAGGGAAAAGTGAGGAAAATATTTCACCATTTCTCACTCTTCAATACATTATTCAGTGCCAGAAGTCTGCTTCAAGTTAATATTAATAGCTTTATGGAGTGCTGTGTGATAAGAAAAGAAAGTGTGATCACCCATTTGCTCATGCTATTTATGCAGTCAACACCCCCTTCCAACATTGTTGAAAATTTCTGTGAACAGGACTTTTATTCTTAACCAGTGTTCCATTTATAAACATTCCGGTCATAAGCAGCTAGCAGTAGATTATTTCCCTAATCCAAGAATTAAAAACCATAAGCTTTTGCTTATTTATTGCTTGCTAGTGAGAGTATATGTATTCTGAACCCATTTTAGCATAAAAGCATAACCTATATACTTTTGTTGCTAAGCAATACGACATAAAAGACATTGTTGGAACACATTGTTACCAAAACACACTGGCTTTTCTATATATTAAAAGTTGTTATATAAGGAACCACTTCTATTCTATGTGTTTTTTCACTAGCTTGCCTCATTAAAAAGATGTGCACGCCCTTTTATTATTATAGATCAGTGTTTTAATGACTTTATCCCTCATCTTTCTTATACACAGGTTCAAAGATAGAGTTTTAGTAAGAAGTCTTCTGTTAATAGCATATTTAACCAAAACTACATTGTCCTTTTTACATTTGTTTTCTTTTTGAGTAAGTGTGTTAACATCGTGCCACCGATTGGGTTACAATAACGTATTTGTAATTGTTTCATTTGTCTTGATTCTTCATAACTAGAAGTTGTTTATTTCACATGCTAGTTATAATTAATCACGACATTTTTGATTTGAAATGTATTGATCTCATCTGTCATATTAAAATATTGCTAATATTATATCAAAAAAAAGTTAGTTTCTGTAACATATATATAATTGTAAACGTGTTTTTATAGTAGATTGGTATATCTTAGGTTAAGAATTTTTTTTTGTAATAGAAAAGGAGTTCAGCTGTGATGAAAACTATCTAAAGCTGTTTATTACATATTTGTGACCTAAGTTATGGTGCATTGAGCTGTCTGTATTGTTTGAAGAGCATAAAAAAACACTTGTGGTTGTATTGATTACCCCATAGTGCAGGTTAGCACAGTTTAAAGAAAACTTCTAAGAACTTTTTTACAAAAGTAACATCCTGTACACTGTCAACTAATTACATGTACATTGTAGATTTTAAGACAAAATATAGAAGGTGGGCACTTCACCTGTCAAGGGTGGGAAAATTTGTATCTGTTTCCCAGAGAACACAGCTGTAGACTTTGAATATCATGTGTCAATAGTTCAAACACACGTACATTAGTGTCTAGATACTTATGTACATTGCCAGCTTATGTGGCTAAGACTAAATCATTGCTGAAGTTGAGATTTCTCATAGCTCGTGGATCATGTGACATGAAAACTTCAGTTTAAGTATTTTGTTAAATGTTTCCTTTGAAACAAAGGAATTAAAATTTAGGTAACAAAGATTAAAATTATAACATACATTATAATGTTAATTTCATTGACATATATTGATAGTAAAGTGGTTTAATTAAATTTTGAATATAATGCAGTACCATACACAGAAAGGAATTTAAAAATGGTGCCAGATAGAAAATCTTACGTTACAACCACATGACTGAGTTCCACATTCAAATCTAACATTTTCTGTTTGTAAAAATGAACATACTAACTATCATTTTTGTCACATCTATTGGAAATCAAGGGAAGGGTAGTGAAAATGTTAGTAGATGAGTGGTCTCTTATTAGCAGAGTGAAAAAGGTTATGGTGAATGATTCTACACTTATCTATTAAACGAGTGGTACGGTGAAGACAAGAGATTCTATTAGCCTGTGATTTATCACTGGGGTGAATAAAAACAACATTCTACAGGTTAAGTGTATTGAGTTTAGTCTTGTTAATAGTGTTACCAGGCTATCTGTTTCTTAAGCCAGTCCCACATTCACATTCCTCATAAAAGATCAATTCACTTGCACCTCAGAAGGTATCACATGCTCCATTAGGTTAGGTGACAGGTTTACTAAATATTTCAACTCTTTTTAGCCATCATGCATATGATGACATGCATGTTCATGTGCTGCAGCATGCTCATCAATGTAGAAACATTGTCACCTCATGGCACAAACAAAAAGTTATCTTTTAAGTGGATAATGCACTTATTTATATTGAATTATATCTTTTACCATATATATATATATATATATATATATATATATTTGTCAACTCCCTATCTTGATACCCATATAGTTGATTTTAATATTTATAATGCCATATTTTCTAGAATATTTATTCAATACTGTATCCTTTTGAAACCACTCCTAAAATTTCACTATTTTAAAATCACTAACTTTCATTATGGGTATAGTTTTTATGTTTCTCATTTGTCCCCTGGTGGGACAGTGGTAAGTTTATGGACTCACAACACTAAAATCCAGGGTTTGGTTTCCTGTGATGGGCACGACAGATGGCCCAATGTGGCTTTATTCTAAAAAAACAACTTTGTTTTGCTTCCGATCTCTCATTTTCATATCGTTGTAATTGGTACATAGAAATGTGATTGTATATACTTTTCATGCTCCATGTCTATTCAACTCTCTTTTTCTAAATTTGTAAAAGCCTAGGTTCTTTATAATCGTACATTTGTATACAGCAGCTAAGCCTGAGGAAAAGCAATTGTCTAAAACACTGGGAAGAGCAATAAATAAGTAACGTATTTGGCTAAGACTTGTGAGTAGTAGATGATTTTTATATTATTTATGTTTTGTTTAATGCTGTGCTTTTCCACATCATGTGGCATTTCCCATAGTTTGTATTTCTGATTAAGAAAGTCTTATTTTTCTAAAACATCTGTTGCCTCTGTTAAAGTTTGTAGTGAAAGAGTATTTAGTTTTATTGTTATCACTCCACAGCCAATCTTTTATTCGTTCGCCAGCATTGAAAAATCTTAACTTCCCACAACTTGCATTGCAAATTAATTGTTAAACATTTAAGTCTGATCTGAGACCATAAAAAGTAGGGTTTGTAATGATAAATGATGCAGTCAGTATGAAGGTCTCCTAGAAAATGTTTATGAATGAATATCCACACACATATTCCTCTGAATATACAACTCGAACAATGCAGGTACTTGTAGGTGGTGTTAAGAACTTGAAAAAAAGGAAAAAAAAAAATTAAGTTCTTTAAAAAGAAATGAAGCACTAGTAACTGTTTTCAAGTGCCAACTTTTCCAGCATCTTGTTACGTCAACATTGGATAATCTTGTATCACTTGATAAGCTTTTTCCATTAAGTATCTAAAATATCTTGATATCTGCAGGAAAGCTACGCAGCTTCTAATACTAGAATATGGAGATTTTGGTTGGTTTCTTTGGGCTGCATTATCTGATGCCAAGGATGAATTTTCTTACCATACAATGCGTAAGTTCTCAAGCACAAAATAATCCACCCATCAACACTGAGGAAAAATAGGTTAAGGACAACATTGAAAAATAATAAAAGCAAGTTTTTTACCATGAAAATAATGCATTTGTTTATTTTTTTTAACGAAAGAAAGGACCTGATTGGTGAGAAGTAAAATTCAACATGTGACTTCATTGTAGCTGTGGCCAATTTTACAGTTCATAATACTCAGGAGAGTGTTTTTACTTGTACAGTTGATTTCAAAACAAGAAACTATTTAGTCACAAAACCATATGGTATGTCCTCCAGTATTTTAGCTATATAGATGTCACACTTCTGTTTCTCTTTTGCATGGTAGTGAGCTTAATGGAATTGACTAGTTTGAAGATCTATTCACTTTACAACAAGAAACAAGTGAAGCTGTCTGTAGTTGGGAAGTTGGTCACTGTGTATCGCAACCTCTGATAGAAGAAAAAGAGAGCATATAGCCAGTATTTGTTTAATATTTAATAAAGGTGGCTTTCTTGAAACTAATGAAGAAAAAGAGGAACAGAATAGACAATGGAAGATAAAATTAATAACAAAGAGGCAAAACCACTAGGAATCCCATTTGACAGGCTTAAGGTGCTACTCGGCAGATAACGTATAATTTACTCCTTGTTAGATAGACTAAATGTGTTGAATCTGAGTTTCATATAAGTAAGAGAAAAATGTAGACAATTAGAACATCTAGAGATAAGAGAGACAGTTTTACAGTTTTTATTATTGAACTTGAAGCTATGGATAAAACTAAGATACATGCATTGAATCCATAAAGATTAGAATCAAATTTGAGAACAGCTTAGCAAAAGGACTGAAAACTATTTAAAAAACAAACTTATGAGATATTCGACTACTCAATTTACCATTAATTTTTTTTATGATCTTATACCCAATCCTAAACTTAACATCTCATTTTTATGTGACAGATGGAACTGCCAGAGAAGATATTCGAAATTATGAAGCAATGGAAACAGATGACAATGATGAACCTGGACCTCAACGTTGTATGTAAAATTGTGCACCATTGGTGACTTTAACATTTGTTTAATTTATTATTAAATGCTATTGTTTGCATGCCTTTTTCCCTAAACACAGTCAGTGAAGTTGACAAAATGATTTTAAAGATGGTCATTATGTTAAAAATATTTTAAAACAGTTTGTAACTACAAAGGTTTATATGGTAAGCATATGGGGGGAGGGACATCCACAAGTACGTATATTGTTTTGAATTTTGGCATTGGTCATATCACCTTCATCACAGCCTTTTACAGTTAGAATAATGTATTGACATTGATTACTGCTTGCTTCTAGATCCATGTTGTTTTAAGATTGGGAGAAGTGAGTATTTTATCATTTAAAAATTATTTCAACTAATCATCAAGATTCAATCACTGATGGACTTTTTCTACCAAGTTCAGAGGTCACTGTTATGGGGGATCTGTGACTTTCAAAACTGTTTATAACATCAGTCCAAGGACAGATGCCATATTAGAGAAGTAATGTTTACTAAACTGTTTATAACATCAGCCCAAGGACAGATGCCATATTAGAGAAGTAATGTTTACTAAACTGTTTATAACATCAGTCCAAGGACAGATGCCATATTAGAGAAGTAATGTTTACTAAGCTGTTTATAACATCAGTCCAAGGACAGATGCCATATTAGAGAAGTAATGTTTACTAAACTGTTTATAACATCAGTCCAAGGACAGATGCCATATTAGAGAAGTAATGTTTACTAAACTGTTTATAACATCAGTCCAAGGACAGATGCCATATTAGAGAAGTAATGTTTACTAAACTGTTTATAACATCAGCCCAAGGACAGATGCCATATTAGAGAAGTAATGTTTACTAAACTGTTTATAACATCAGTCCAAGGACAGATGCCATATTAGAGAAGTAATGTTTACTAAACTGTTTATAACATCAGTCCAAGGACAGATGCCATATTAGAGAAGTAATGTTTACTATTGTACTATAATTTGAGAGAAGTCTGTTTGTTATCTGACTCATCCTAGGCTTTTGCATTTGAACCTGTTAATTGTGGTTTAATCAACTAGGAATGATTCAGGATGTGCCAATAAGAAGTTATTTTTCTTTTAAAATGCATAGATTTCATAGCTCCATTGCAGGCTAAATAAAGATAAGTCGTTGGGAGTGGCCACTAGGGGTACTGATGGGGATTTCTCCAGTTTCCTCTTTTATTACGTGGGGTATACATACAGTTTATGTTCTTTCAGTCATTACTGGTATACTTCTGGCAAACAGAAACACTACTTATAATAAATATTGCCAAAACATTAATTCTACAATTGCTTATTGTTTTCACATCCCATCATTAATTTGAGGGATTTATTTTGTACATATTACTTATACATACTTTTAAGATGGACACACTTATACTGAGACATGTTCCATATTAATTTTTGATAAAAAAGTAAAATTAATGTTATTTTAATGATCAAGCCCAAAGGATGTGAATAACTTTATTCTTCTGTACTTTCAATCTTTGTATTTCTACCTCCATATTTCAAAAACAAACTTTCATAAATCTATCACTGTGCATTACATGGGTACATTTGCTGGTCATTCTGAATTTACTCTGTTTACCTTCATAAAACTGGACAAGCTTTTAGTAAACATTACAAATTTGTTGTACACAAAAAGTCAGTATTTATGCTGAAGATTTGTCTGAATTTACTGAGTTAGTCGTATTCAGACTCTGACTAGACTCAGTACAAGGTGATTTTTATATTAAGATTAAAAATATTTCTATTATCTTACAGTTTTACCTATTTCATTTGCATAACCTCTGAAGTATACTAAATTAATGTATTCTGTTTTTTTAGGGTAAAACTATACTTTGTGTGCTATTTAGCCTACCCCAATACTAACTGTAATGAATTCATCAATTATGATCAATGTACATTGAAATAAAAAGTTGAAAATATGAAATAATATCCTTTTTCATTTATTCATTTGATGCATAATTTCCCTTGTTTTATGTGTTCTTAGCTTTATAGTTTCAGCTGTTAACCTTTTCACAACTATTTTCTGTAAAATTATGGTAATGGTGCCCAACTAATGAAAGTACAGCATAAAAAGCTTCATGTTATACATCCAAATTCTTAGAAGACTACATTGATATAAAAAGTGGTATAATTTTTAATATATATATATATATATATATATATATATATATATTTATTGCATGTAACTTTCAAATAATCTATTTCAGTACCATCAGGTTTTAGCATGATAGTATAATTAACCTACATGATAGAACTTTAAAAACTAAATTACGCTGGGTGTGACCTGGTGGTCAGGATGCCAGACTGTGAATCTAATGGTCCATGGTTCACATCTATTACAATAAAATCATGCTCTGCAATTTGGGGTCAAGGGTTCTTGATATAAGTGAAGGTCATATTCCATTAGCCCAGTAGTTGGTGGTAGGTGCTGTTGACTAATTTCCTTCCCTCTATTCTGTCTATTTAAAAATAGGTACAGCTAACATAGAAACCACTTGTATAGTTGTATGTGAATATCCAAAACAAATAGATGTAGTTTTTGCAGGGAAGAACAGTGGAAATTTTTGGAAAGTCTAGCAGACTTAGGAACAAACCACAGATCTGGGAATGTTTTTATAGTTTCTTTAGACTTTTTATTTCATTCCTGAAAATGTTTTGTGTTTATTTATACTTATTTTAAAGCTACCTAAATTTTCTCCTCTTTACGACAAGATGTCAGGTAAGCCTAGTTAAGCTTTGACGGAATGGTAGGTGAAGGCAAAATGTTCTGAAGACACAAACCCTTATTTTATTAATATTATTGTTAAGTTTATTGAAGTCAAACAACATAGATAAGTAAAATAACTTATTATTTATCTAAAATAAATTATATTATTAGATATGAATTAATCTTGACCAAGAATATTTTGGGCAAAAATATTGTTCTCTAGCTTGACCTGGTAGCATTGTAGGTTTAAAGGTTGATAAGCAAAAGCAGTTGATATTAACAGTTTTCAGACATTGATTTATTGCAGGATAAATATACTCGATTCTAGAGAATAAACACAAGTATAAAAATTACATTTTAAGACTTCTTCACAAAAAGGTAAACAACATTAGAATTTTGTTAGGGTTTGGGAAATTCCTAATACCATCATTAAAATAATTGAAATTGTTTGCCCTGAAAATGGTAGTATTATAATTATAAACTGCTTTAAAATGTGAAATGGTAGGGTGCACAAAATCTTTTAGTCATCCATTCTGTTATGGCAAGATTGGCTGGTGACAAGTTTATTTGAATAGTTGGTTGTCCTCTTTTCCAACTATTAAAAGTCATTCTAAAGGAGAGGAGCTAAGTTTTAAAAGGATTTGAAGAACTTTCCAGTTTCAACATTTACTAAATGTAGAAACAGATTAGTTTTATAAATACTTTCAAGGCATTTAGTACACTGGGAATTTTTTATTGTTCCTCATGTGATAGTTTTCTTGTTGCTGATAATGAGTTTTTATTATATTATTTCAATTTAAAAGCCACAGAAATATTTTCTACCCAAAAAGGTCAGATAAAGATACTTATCCAGTAAGTCTTCATCTCCAAGGTTTGTGTGTTTCAGATAAAGGTCAGATAAAGATACTTATCCAGTAAGTCTTCATCTCCAAGGTTTGTGTGTTTCAGATGGGATTACATAATTGTTTCAGTGGGTAAAAAAATGTATGAAAAAATCACAAAGATAACTATATTAATATGAAATAAGTTAAAACTGTTGGATTTGTGGAATATAGATTTTTGATTAGCAATAACAGAAACATACTAGGTTTGAGATTTTTTTTTGGTTACAGATAACAGTACGATTCAATTTGTACAAATTCTGCACTAAATCAGTATGTAAAAATAGTTTAGTATCTGATTTCAGTGGGACAAGGAAAATTATGAATGGAACAAGTTCTTTATGAATTTCACTTGTCTCAGAGGGCCAGCTGGTTCAAAAATATTTTTCTCAGCGTGGGAATTGGGAATATTTTTTTTACTAGTTTTGTGATCTTAAGAATATAAATTAACATTTTTGGAATATCTAAGTATATGAAAGTTTTACTGCTTGAAAACTGATATATATATATTTCATCCTTCCGTAAGTAGAAAAATCATGTATATTTAATTAAGTTTATTCAGATAAATTGTTAAAATTTCTACAGGTGTTTTATATTCAATTACTTGAAATTCTCAAAAATAGGATGTGAAAGTTCATAATCTTCCACTTATCTTCTGTCTTAGACATACTACAGCAGTCACTTTATAATGGCTTGTATTTGCCTAACTTTGTTTCTGTATTATCACTTCCCTGTGGTGTGGATTCTACTCAAGCTTAGAGGTGTTACAGATACTTGTACAAGTTAGTATGAGCTGCGGGTGTATCTCTTTCAATGACATATGATAGGAACGATCTTTGACCTAGGTAATTCGGATTGTGGGATGTTACACTGGGAACTTTCATTCTGGCTTAATGTTAAAAAAAATAATGTTGTTTTGTTAATTCTTACTATAAAAATCTGATTTGTAAATGACTTGAATGAAGTTGATAATAATTATAATTCACTTGTTTAATCTGGTTCACACCATAACAATCATTATTTATGATAATTGATATATGTTGCCTACACCACTACAATATCTCCCATATTCCAGCTTGACCTATGTGCTCTGGGTTGGGTGATAGGCCATAGGCACCATATGTGGTACATGTAGTTAGTTGAGACATAACATATTCTTGTTTGCTTTCACTCATGGATTCTTAGAATTGTGATCTATCATTATTCTTGCTTTAGTTTTCATCTGATGTAGATGTATCAGCAGCCAGAGGTGTTCTTTAAAACTTACTTAAAAGCTAGACAGCAGTTAAATATAAAAAAAAAACAATTTTATTTAAATGCTAGTATAAAGAAAAAAGATTATTTTTCTTGCTGCACACTTTTGTGTTGCATTTTCATATACTCCTCATTTTTGATTTATTCATTGCAAAATATTTCCTGAACTTTCTATACGTTGTGTATACTTATAACTTATCTGTAGGATATCAGTGGACCTGAATACCATAAGAATATTTTATTTATGAATCAATCACAATATACAATTTTACATTTTGAACTATTTTGTTCATAATCTGTGTTTTAGCTGTGGAAGGCTGGATATTGTTTGTTACTGGAGTTCATGAAGAAGCACAGGAAGATGATATTTATGATAAATTTGCAGAATATGGAGAAATAAAGAACATTCACTTAAACCTAGACAGGCGTACAGGTTTTCTAAAGGTATGTAATGGTTTTCATTTGCCTGACAGTAAAAAGTTTTTTATTTCAAAGTTTGTAAGCAGTATTTGCAGTTAAGATAGTATTTTTGAATTTAAAAGTCTTTTATTTTTGACATTTTTATAACACTTCCAACTTGCTTATAACAGGATAGTTCCCATATTGCAATATCATTATTATTACTTTATTGATTAGTTACCAGTAAAAATTTAGTATCCACGGCTGTACCATTGCTAAATATTATTCAATATTTCTTATAGTGATATAAAATATTCCTCAATTGCCTGAGAGAAAACTGTCATAATCGTAACCATACAGATTTACAGTAAATATGTACTGTGAGTAGTACATCTAACTGACAGAATTAATTACATTGCAACTAGTTGAACAATAAAAAAAAATAAAAAAGTACATCATGTGAAATATAATGATAGAAATAATTATGTAAACACAAGCAATACACATTAAAGAATCACAAACAATGAATAATGGCATCTTTCTGGTGAATTTGTTGATGGTACAAAACATTATCACAGAAAATACAAAAGGTCTCTTATCTTACATGGAAGCTCTTAGCCTTAGACAGAGCATTACAGCTTGTTTTCATGCTGCCATACAGTTTATCAATGTACAGTTGTTGTTGAATATTGTTCTAAGTGCCCAGTATTACTCCCCACAGTTCTGCAAAGTTGTTTGACTTTCTCAATTTTTAGATAAGTCTATACGGCCTCAGTAAACTTTATATTGTGACAGTTTTCCGTGAGCGAAAACATACTGAGAAGAATATCATCGATCTATTTATTTTCAAAATGTCATTTCACTATATTTGTTGTGTGTTTGGGAACATTGTCTTGTTGGAAAACGAATCTTTCCTCAATGAGTCAAGTTCTTGAGAGAATGGTGTAATGGATCAGAATCTGTCTGTACTTATGAGCAGTCAGGTTATCATTAGTTTTGTGTAGATCACCGACACCATTGGCTGAGATGTAGCTCCAAACTTGTACTGATCCCCTGCTATGTTTCACTGTAGATGTTGTAGATTGATATCTTTCCTCACTCCACCACCTGATACTCTGTCAGTGATTGTTATAGAGAGAATACACCCAGTTTTGCTTATTCTACAGTTTGCGATAAGATTCTCATTTCAGTTTTTTTGTTACCTCTTTTCAGCATTGGTTTTCAATCACTTAAATGTTCATTGAGACACAACTTTCTGCTAATGTGTATCTTACTATTCTCAAGGTCATTGACAAAGCACATACCTAACCGTCATCTACCTCATAAAGAAAGTACCCTAAGATACTTAAAGTCACTTTTAGGATAGTTTTGGTTTTCTAAGTTGACCATTTCTATTACTAAGAGTATTAATTTCACATACCCTTTTCAGAGTCTTGCATCAATGTTTTACATGGACAAAACTTTGATTTCTACACAATTTTCAAGATTGGATTCGCGTTACTGCTACTGTGTATAGTACATTTTTATAGGCTTCATACTGACGTGGCACTTTCTGACTGATTGGTTAACAAACAACAAGAGTTTAGACTATCAGTATATGCCTATACTCTGGGACAGTTAATTTTCACACAATAAAGGGATGGCAATCCTGTAATATTGGCCTTTGATACAATTCTCTTTTACAGTTTCTATAATTATTTCCAGTACTGCATATTATATTAAAATTGGCAGATATAGAGTGGTTGAGTACATTATATTAAAACAAATTTGGAACTTCACCATACTGTTACAGTTCCTGTCACCATGTCTGGTCGCACAGTTATCTGATGACTGTTGGAGCATGGTGACAAAAAGTACCGATAAAAACACTGTTGAAGGTATTACATAAACATTATTAAAATTAGCAAGAATATGGAAAAAAAAATTAAAACAACTAAAATTGGATTTTGATAAACTGGAAGACTTCTTGCAATGTTCTGTAATGTGGGTACTGCCAAGATCATTTGGTCCCTTGGAGAACGTATGTGCACTGGCTCTAAGTAAATGTCTTTTCTTGCTGCTTCATTGATGGCTCATACAAGTCCTGCAGAGGTTTCCACTTAATTTTATTGTCCAGGCCCAACTCTTCTGTTGTTCTGGTGAGGTATCCACAAATCTCTATTATAAGTTTACACTGTCCATTTCCTCACCCATGCTTCAGCTATAGGAAAACATCATTTGTTGTGTGGCATCAGAGTACAGCCAACTAATACACCAGCTGGCAATTTTGTATCAGGATGTCTCTCCACAACTGCAGTTTTTTTGAGTCCAGAACTGGTGGTGTCACAATAAATTACTATCTCAAATTTGGGGAATGGTCTCAGCTCTCTTTACTCTTACTTTAGCTCTTGAAATACATTGTTCTTGCTTCAACATCCGTAGTGGCAGCTTCTTACCAAATATTTCCAGTGTCAACTCTTCAAAATCAAGCTTGCACCCATTTTTAATAACAAAATTCAGTATTAAGAAGCATTTATCTTCTTTGTCTGCAGTATAGACTTTAATTTTACCCACAAAATCTTGGATCATATCATCAACCTCTCGAGGACCATTCAATGGCATTGAGTTACAATTACTTCACTGTCTGGGAAGTACCTTTGACCCAAGAGTTCTGATGGTAGCAATGCCCTATTGGATTCAGTATTTACAGTTATCTGACACTTGATTCCATTGACTTTTCCTGCTACTTGTATGCCATACACAGAAGTTCTTTTTTTTTTTTCCTCCACTCTTCATAGGTAGGATTTGTGTAACATTGACTTATCTGGGTTCTGCAAGATCACCCCCAGCTTAACTGTTGCAGCTCTCTCACCAGAACATCTATTTTGTTCTTGGACCAACACTCATTCTTGTAGTAACTCCTTTTCCCACAGTTGTAGCACACAATATTTTTTTTACTTTTAGTTGTGTCTTCATATTTTCCTGTTTCAGGTATTTGACTGATTATATTTTTGTAGTTGGCTAAAATCCATCTTTTCCATAACTTTGTTCACCTGTGTTGCCACTTTTCTTGTATTGTTTTCCAAATTAGGTACACACTTCATTCATGGTTGTTGGTTTCTAGTTTATCTTACTGTAAAATGCTTCCTGTTGTAACTATTAACCACCCTTTTTAATTGGCTGTAGCTTACACTTGACACCATGAATGCTTCCAATGCATGTGCTAGTCTTCTTGGACAGTCTGGGGTTGAGTTTGTTAAATTCTTTCCATACAGACATTCTTTTCAGCACATGTCATGAGGTTTTACTGAGTTACATTCAAAATTTAATTAAAGTACTTTATTATTGTGGAATATGAATAAACTTGGCATCAATAAATAGCTAATAATCCAAATTTTAATATCATGTAAGTTTTTAGCTTTTAATTATATAAAGCAATATTTTTAAAAATCTTGAAGTTCCCCTAGTATGATAATTGTTACATTTGCTCTCCAGTTATCCATCCCCTTTTCACTAATTTATTTAACACACCTGTGTGAGACGTATGAAATGTAATGTAAACTATTCATTATAATATTGTCATTGCTCAGACAAAATATAATTTTTATAAAATTCAACCTTATTTGGTTACAGAGCCATAAATCAGAAAATCAGACCCCTCTTGACACACCTACTTGTCACATCCTCTCTTTCAGAAATTGCCAATAGTTATCTCTGATGTTTAATACTATATTATTTATAACCAATCAAAAGTCAGAGTTTTAATCTTTCAAGTGAGATATTGTATTATGAAGTTTTCTGTAGAGAGAATTGTCTATTTCACTTCCAGTTCAAACTCTATTCCTACAGGAAACACATCAACGTGCTTAGCTGAATTTTTAACAGCTCTTGTCACAAAGTTAGAAAATGAGAAAAATCTTGATTGTTATTGGACATTGTCTGCTTTTTGCATGGTATTATTCTGTGTTGTTTGGTACAATATTTAAGTAAATAAAAAAAATTAGTGTAGTAGTACCATTAGTTTAAAAAAAGTACGGTTAAATTTCATTGACAATCAGCAGCATAAAAAAAGAAACCCGAGTAAATACTATATTGTTTTTCATATGTATTCTTTATTAATTATTATAAAAGTAACTAAAATGTAAAAATTAGATACTTTAGATTAAATTTAGGTAAAATGAAAAAAAAAAAAGTTTTACAATGTATGCTTGCAAGCAACTTGGGAGTAGCCTCTGTGTTATGTAATTCAATAAGGTAATGTGAGCTACATTTTTGCTCATTCATTTACAACTTGTGTGGTGGGAATATTAGTTAGACATGGTTCAAATGGCAATAAAACAGTAACATTTAAGTATAAACAGGTGTATACTTTTACGAGTTTAAAGCTATTTAGTATAATCAATTGTAGTTTCATGTTACAATTTGAAGTCATTCTGGGAAGATAAGAGTAATTTAGATTTCTTTCATATTTTTTATGGTGGTTACAAGATCGGTCAAACTGACCAACTTCATATAGAGTTAGGGTAGAGAAAATAACAGACACAATAACAAATTTTACTGAAAAAAAAAGTTTGAAATTTACTTAGGAGGTTTTAAAGATTATGCTAATTAAATTTGAAAATTTCAGATGAAGAAAAGTGTTTTTAAATCTTAACATGAAAATCACTTTGCACTTGGAGCAGTCAACACTTTGACCCCATATATTCATTGAGAAACTTGTAGTGAAAATACTTTATTAAACATTCTGATTTTTTATCTACAAAACACTGTTAATGCTTACTGCAAGCTAGTGAAATATCATGAAGATACACAAAACATTAGAGGTTATAGTATGGAAACTGTAAAGGTTAATTTGGGGCCGTGAACTTGGCTGATTTGGCTGAGCCTGTAGCAAGAGTGTTAATGTGGACTTTTAAGTTGCTTTTGTCCAGAGCTCAATGAACTGATCCTATAACAAAATTTACAATAGGCTTGGTTCTGCAGTTGGGTAGACATAATAGACAAACTTCTCTCGTTCTTGCACCAACTGTTATAATAGCTCACAGTGTTATCTCACCTCTTCTAGGATATAGCCCCAAACCATTGCTCTAAAGTTCTAGTCAGAGATCTGTAATTTTTCTGGAGAGGACTGGCAGATGACTTAAGGCTTCTGAAGCAGTTCCCTTCATGCTATTTGCAAGCTGTATCACATTATTCTTCTGACCAACCGTTACCTCTAGCAAGCAACTGCAATTGGATAACATTTTCTTTCCAAGGAACTAATCCATCAAAGTTATAAGGTTTTTTTGCACTTGAGTTTTACTCTGAGCCCTTGGATAGAAATGTTGTGCAAAAGGGAAGTGATGGTTGTTCTTCCTTTTGTGGGTGATATGAACTGGTTAGAGAATGTTTGGAATACTGTCTCTTCAGGAAAGGGAAGTGAGGGTTGTTCTTCCTTTTGTGGGTAATATGAACTGGTTAGAGAATGTTTGGAATCTCTTCAGGATGAGTCAACATAGTGTCCCTGGATGTGCCTACTCTTTTCTCTGATTCCTAAGTTTTCTTATTTAACTCTTCTACTTGATCACACATCTGCCTGTTTCATCTATCACTTATCTTCAATCTGCTGTTGTGCTTGTTTTTCACAGTCTATGTTGTAGGGCCTGTTGTTCTAAGGCCTCTTTTAAATTAGTCTTTTATACATGCTTTTCAAGTCTTTCATCACGGTGATTAGTCTTCTCATTGATTTGATCCATCATTATTGCTTGGTAATTCATCTGTTGAGTAAACTCCTTCATTTGCTTACTTTTTATTGCTGCCTGTTGATCTTTCTCTTCATTAAACTGTTATATTTGTTCAATTGTCTTCACAGTCTATTGATCTATCTTTTCACCAACCTGCTGTATTTGGAGTTAGGGCCTGTTGGTCAAACTTTTCTTTCAGCTTTACATTAAATTCATGCATTTGCTGATTTTATCAGTAACTTATAGATCAAACTTTTCATTGATCTGCAGCATTTGTTGGTTTGTCAATACTGTTTGTTGTTTTATTTGCAGCATTAATTAATTCAACCATGCTGCAGTTTTAATTGCTCTAGTCTGCATTTTTGGTGCTTGCTTCCTTAGCATAGCCATGTTGAAATATATCAAATAGACTCTCCTTTCATAAACTTGAAAAAACAAACAAAGATAAAATATCTCACTTCTGACACCAAAGTTTTAAGCTGATTCAATTAAAATAATAAACAATCCATTTATTGATTTAAATAACTGGTTTATAAGCAATTTGTACAAAATATTTCCATTTCCCAAACAATACTGGACTCTGGCTTAACTATACAGTTTTTAGGCTACAGAATCAAGATTTTCTCTGATACTGGACTCATAATTGACTCGCTCCCAAAAATTCTTACTGTACTATACCTCTAACTCTTAATCAAAACTGAAAAAAAAAAGATTGCATAAGATTTCACCAAACAATGCTAATGCTTATAGTTTATATAAGGTTTCACCAAATGATGCTCATGCATATGGTTTATATCAGATCTTATTAAATTACAGTGACTTTATAAAGTGCCCTCTCTATAAAATCACTTATAAAACAGATAATTGTACTACAAAATTTTCAAGAAACGGTAATAATTTCAGATACATGTAAAAATTAAACATGATTTTAATTGTGATAATAGACACACGTGTATATGAAGTAAGCATTGTGGTAGAATTGCTGTTGTCTGTCCTGGTTGTCAACTTGATGTCATAACGGATAATGCCTGTGGTAATAGCAACCAAATGTGTTGGGGATATCCCATCTATCAGACAAAATACAAACGCTGTTGTTAAACTAGCCAGCTGTCATGGAAAATTACTTAAAGGTATGAAACTGAGTGCTCACATCCACAACGTCTCAACTCCTACTGCCTTTCACTGTTAGCAATCAGCTGTGAAAAGGCATCTACCCTTAGAGTTTTTAAATTAGAAATGAAACCTCCATAAAATTTCTACTATGTGAAACTCCCAACCTCTGGCAATTCTAATGTAATTTTATATGAAGTTTGTTATTATTTAATAGTGCTGATTTAATTGCCTATTAACAATTATTGTAACCAATAGTGTTAGAGCTATTTATTTATTTATATATATATATTTTTTTTGTTTTCTTCTTCTAGGGATATGCACTTGTAGAATATGAAACATTTAAAGAGGCTAATGCAGCGATAGAAGCAATGAATGGGTCAGATATGCTTGGACAGACTATCAGTGTAGATTGGTGTTTTGTTAAAGGACCAACTAAAAAGTATGTTAAATATTCACTTAGTTTTTTTAAAAAATGGTCATATTTTGGTTGCTATGTCTTAGCAATAAGCTCAATTTCAAATTTGGTGATGTGTTTGTTTCATGATAAAGCAATAACAAAAGAGAGATTTTGAATATTAGTCACAAGGGAAGAGAAATTGACTGTTCTTTCTTAATGTACAATGCTAAATATATATTTGTAAATATTTGCTAGTAGCTTTTTCCAAAATTAAAGACAGGCAGATTGGGGGGAATTAAATAATATCTCTGCATCCATATTTATGAAACCACTCAGTAGTGACTTTGAGTTGTAGTTTTACGTTGAAGTACTTTTTCCAATCTCAGCATTTAATTTAAGGTATAATTTACAAAAGAAAGTTAAATTGTAGTTTATTTTAATCAATTGCAAACACGCGACTCAATGTTCATAAAGGAGTATCTCCGTTCATAACAGTTATATTTTAAATCAGTTTTCCAAATAGGTGGCACAGTATCTAAAATGAAATACATAAAATATCTCCATTTTGAAAGCACAATATGTGTTATTTTAATTTCTACAATAACTTTAATAATAATTTTGATTTAAGCTTAGCATAGACAGGTGCTTAAAATGGAAAAAGCAGAAACATAAAATAGGGTATTTTTACATTTCTATGCTTGCTTTCTTTCTGTACAATTAAAGTGATTTTAAGATCTTGATTTAACAGTGCAAGTATGAAGAAGTAAAAGATGTAAAGTGGGTTTGTTGCCTTGGTTAACTCAGATTAAAGTGTTATTGTGTCAGCTTTATGTATGTAAAATTACCAGTCACAATAAAAGAACAAACAATGACTACACATTTCATTCAGTCAAACAGTGGTCAGCAGTAATATTCAGATTGAATGTTTTAACTTGGTTCGTATGATCTGCCATAACAGAGCTTTCAGATGTTTTAAGATTATGTTTTCTCTCCGTCCCCTTTTTTTTTATTGAACCTCTAATTGCTATAAAGTTTTCACTTTCTCTCAACCAATATTGTTAGGAATTTTGTCTTGGCTTTTTGACATCTGGGAGTTCCTTCCTATTTGTTAGTGAA